TTCTATACGTTCGTCATTCAACACATTAAGTGCCTACACTGCGTCAGGCACTTTTCTGGAGTTTACACCTATTGCTATATGTGTGGAAACTACATGAAAGCGGAAAACCAGGAAATGAAAAACTTTTTTTTAAAGCATACTTGTATGTCATGATAGTAAGTGGTAAGAAGAAAAATCAGGAGAGAAGGGATACAAGATGTCAAAGAAGAAAGGTATGGCAATTGGATAGGTTGGCCAGGGAAGGTTTCACTGACAAAGTGAAATGTGATATGAATGAGTATGAGAAAAGAAACTGTGAGACTGGAGGAAGAATTTTTCAGGCATGGGAATAGCAACTTGATAAATAATATCTACACTGTTGATAAGACTGTAAATTAGTACAGCCATTAAGGAAAACAGTATGGAGGTTTCTCAAACAACTACAGATAAAACTGCCATACGGTCCAGCAATCCCACTTCCAGGTATATACCCAAAGGAATGGAAATCATGTTAAAGGGATACCTGCACTCCAATGTTCATCACAGCTCTATTCACAATAGCCAAGTGTTCATCACAGCTGTATTCACAATAGCCAAGACATGGAACCCACCTAAATGCCCACTGATGGATGATTGGATAGGGAAAATGTGGTGTACACACACACACGAGAATATTACTTAGCCATAAAAAAGAATGAAATTCTGCCATTCACAGCAACATGAAGGAGCTTGGAGAAAATTATGCTAAGAGACACATGCCAGGCACAGGAAGAGAAATAGTGCATGTCCTCACTCAAGTGGAGGGATGTGGGAGGAAGGAAGGAAAGAAGGAAGAGTTGAACTCTGAAGGAGAAAGCAGAACTGTGATTACTACGGGCAGGAAAGGGAGAGGGTGAGAGAGGGTAGTGAGAGGTTGGTTAATGGATACATAACAGCTAGATAGGAAAAATAAGTTTCATGGGTGTAGAGTCAAGCTAGACAGCTGTAATTAATAATTTACTGCGTGTTATTACATGTCTAGAAGAGGGATCAAATGTCCTTATTAGAAATGATCATTTTATAATGATGAATATGGTAATTACCCTGATTTGATCACCACACATTGTGTAAATGTGTTGATATGCAACTCTGTACCCCACAAAAATATTATCAATACATTTCAGTAAAATAAAGACAGAAAACAAATGGAGCTGGAACAAGTGGACATCCACATGAAAAAAAAAAAATCTGCACAAAGATCTTATACCCTTCACAATAATTAACTCAAAATGAATCATAGGCCTAAATACAAAATGCAAAACTATAAAACTCTTAGAAGTTAACATAGGAAAAAATCTAGATGTCCTAGGGTTTGGCAATGTTAGACACAACGCCAAAAGCATACTCAATTAACTCAAAATGAATCATAGGCCTAAATACAAAATGCAAAACTATAAAACTCTTAGAAGATAACATAGGAAAAAATCTAGATGTCCTAGGGTTTGGCAATGTTAGACACAACGCCAAAAGCATACTCTGAAAGAAAGAATTGATAAGTTGGACTTCATTAAAATTAAAAATTTCGGTCTATGAAAGACACTGTTGAGAGAATAAAGAGAAGCTACAAATTGGGAGAAAATATTTGTAAAAGACATCTGATAAAGGATTTATTCAAAATATACATAGAACTCTTAAAACTCAATAACAAAACAAACTGATTTATAAATGGGTCAAAGACCTTAACTACTTTACCAAAGAAAATATACAGATGGCAAATAAGCATATGTAAAGATGCTTCACATCATATGTCATCAGGGAAAGGCAAATTAAGACAAGAATGAGAGAGGGCCGGCCCAAGGCTCACTTGGGAGAGTGCGGTGCTGATAACACCAAGGCCATGGGTTTGGATCCTATATAGGGATAGCCAGTTGGCTCACTGGCTGAGTGTGGTGCTGACAACACCAAGCTGAGAGTTGAGATCCCCTTACCGGTCATCTTTAAAAACAAAACAAGAATGAGATACCACTACACACCTATTAGAATGGCCAAATCCAGAACCCTGACAGTACCAAATGCTGACAAGGATGTCAAGCAACAGGAGCCCTCATTCATTCTGGTGGGAATGCAAAATGGTACAGCCACCTTGGAAGGCAGTTTGGCAATTTCTTACAAAACTTAAGTATCTTACCATGCAATGGAGCAATTGCTGTCCTTGGTATCAAGGGAATTGAAAACTTACGTTGACACAAAAACCTAAAAGCAGATGTTATAGTAGCAATTGCCAAAATGTGGAAGCAACCAAAATGTCCGTTAGTAGGTGCATGGATGAACAAACTGTGGTACATCCAGACAATGGAATATTACTCATTGCTTTAAAAAAAAAAAAAAAAAAAAAAAACCTGTCAAGCCATGAAAAGACATGGGAGGAAACTTAAATGCACATTAGGTGAAAGAAGCCAGTCTGAAAGCTTACACACTCATGCGCTTATTGGCCATTTGTATATTTTCTTTGGAGAAATATTTGCTCAAGCCATTTGCCCATTTTTAAAATTGGGTTTTGTTGTTGAGTTGTAGGAGTTCTTTATATATTCTGAATATCAATTTCTTGTCAGATATAGATTTGGAGATCATCCTATTTTTCTTCTTCACTTTTTAAATCCTCCAAAGAACAGATCATAGTTGATTGTACACTTTTCTCCCTATTCACTTCTCAACCTACCATCATGTCAATGCCTTTCAGCTCCTCTGCTTCTGGATCTATGATTTTATTTCCAGACTTTCAAAATGATTTTCCTTTCTGTTGTCTCTTTTCCTCTTTTAATCTTAGACTCTTTTAAAGCAGGAAGATGGTCCTGCCATTCCCTGGCTCAAAGATCTTAATGGATTTCCATTACTTTGAGAAGAAAACGCAGAAATATGAAATCCTAAGTCCAACCACACTTAGTATGTTCCTGTTTTAGAGATAATGAGACTAAAGCCCAGAAAATTAAAAGTGCCCCTTGTTTAGCATCATTCTCCTTAAGTCTTTTTTCCTACTTCATTTTCATTTCTACCTGTTCTCACTCTTCCAAGTGCATGTTTGAGTTATTATTTTCATAACAGACTATAACCATTTCTGTGAGCTTCTTGAAGGCAGGGGACTTTTTTTTTTCCTTCAGCAGGACCCAGTACAATGCCTGACACTGAATATTTATTGAATGAATTTAAATTTCTTTTCTTTTCTTTTCTTTTTTTTTTTAAAAAATGACCGGGAAGGGGATCTCAACCCTTGGCTTGGTGTTGTCAGCACCACGCTTAGCTAGTGAGCAAACCGGCCATCCCTATATAGGATCCGAACCCGTGGCCTTGGTGTTATCAGCACCGCACTCTACCGAGTGAGCCACGGGCCGGCCTTATTGAATGAATTTCTAAGCACCACCGTCCACATAATTTTCCTTCACTTCCTTACTTCTGTGCCTTTGTTGGCTATTCTCTCCCTGCCTTTTATGCCCCTACTCTCATCCTTAAAAACTCAAAGTTCAGGGCCAATCCCGTGGCTCACTCGGGAGATTGTGGCGCTGGGAGCGCAGTGGCACTCCCGCCACGGGTTCGGATCCTATATAGGGATGGCCGGTGCACTCACTGGCTGAGCGTGGTGCTGACAACACCAAGTCGAGGGTT